GTTTGGAGACAAAGGGTAGAAGGCCGACTGGACAACATGGGAATTACAGGGGTTTGATGATCCAAGGGTGGGTTTGTGTTATTTTTGAAATGGGGGAGCCAATAGCATTTTATTTATTTTTATTTAATTCAATTTATATCCCGCCCTCCCCACCAAGGCAGGTTTAGGGCGGCCTACATTAAAAGTTAAAAACCAATAAAACACAAACTATAAATGTCATAGAAAGTCATATGCAGTTAACATAATCATAAAGTGCTAGTAGCATGTGAATGCAGTGGGGAAAGAGCCCTAACAGAGGATAATGTAGTAATGCTGTAAGGATAATATTGGGGTGGAGGGAGACAAGGCAGCCAAAAGTAAGCAGAGAATAGGATAATACAGACATGTAGAGTGGTTAGGAGCAGTTAGGTAATTTAGGACTCTGGACTCAATGATCTTAGGCCTGCCCATCATTAATAAGCATTCTGAGAACCAAAATTCACAGAAAACACTAAGGCTGCAATCATATGCACAATAAGACATGACATAGGCACAAATGCCGGGCGGATTTAAAGGGAGCGATCAGACAACAACATCTGGGAAGCACCCCGCAGCCATCGGCAACCCGTTCTGCTCCGTCACAGAAGTGGAGTTAAAAGACACCGGGGAAAATCTGGTAGTAAACAGGTTGCGACAGGCCACGGACAGACTTTCCCTTGTCTGATCACTCCAGCACGCTCTCATGCCGTCAGGATGGTCAGGCCATCCCAACTCCGTGCTGTTCTCCCCCCCCCCTTTGCAGTATGCGCATCATCGCAAACCCCATGGGGAGCCTTCAGTTCATCCTCGTTTAAGCACATGGGAAACAAACGGCACCCAAAAAACCCCAACTCACCCACAGTTGCGTCTGATCACACACTGACGGGCTGCACCCGCAGCTTTAAAGGGGTGTGTGACTGTGCAACTGCGAGTCTATTTCCTCCGGAGGAAATAGCCTCACTTCCCCATTTTATCTGGTATGTGTGACTGCACCCTATGGGTAAGGCAGGCAGGAGGTGAAGGAATAAAGATGAAAGTGAGATGGGTGGGGCTCACCTATTTCTAGCTACAGCCAGTATCCCCCCGCCCAAGCTGAGACTCTGGACTTTCACCCCAAATATGATAAGAAGGTGTCCATCTCCTCAAGAAATATCAGTGGGGGGGAAATGTTGAAATAGTGAGATGTATTTATATACAGCTAAATGGGGTGTAGCAAATTGCTTGTGGAATCAAGATCATACAGATCATAAATATATATCCCTATATATTTATAGCCCATCCTTCTTCCAAATGAATCCTGGCCTTCTCAAGACTTTTTTCTTCACTCTGTTTCCTGTTTATCTTTATCTTGGGGGCTGTCATAATCCACAACTTTCTTCTGGCCCAAGAAGACTAATCATTTTTCTCCATGATGCAGTGCCACCTCTGATTCACCCAGTCTTCAGTCCGATGAGATCAATGTGGTGTCATATTTTCCTGAGTCACCCTCTTTCCATGGTTATGTTATGACAAAAGTACACTGCAGAGCATTTTTAATTACTGTAATGCTCTTTGGTTCGTGATGATGCCCAAATTCATCCCTGCTTCTTCAGAGCCACAACCAGCTTTTTATTGATCTTTTCTCACTTTTAGCTCATTATCTCTACAATCTATCATGCACAGAGGGTGAGGAAAATGGCAGAGTATCAGTAAATGGCATCTACAGGAGCAGCAAATGTGACTGATGGCTGAGCCACTGAAACTGGTTGGTCTCAGAATGGATAGAATGTGGGAAGGGAAACTAAGTGTTGCTATCTCGGTAACAAATTAGACATAGTTCAATTCCAGTAGCACCTTTAAAGACCAACAAAATTTTATAGCATATAAGCTTTCATGAATCAAAGCTCACTTTGTCAGATACCAATACTCAAACAATACACAATTGTATAGGAATAATTGCGCACCCTCTCAAAATGATGTTTGCGCACTTCAGAATGGCAGTACTATAGTCAAGTATTCCAGGATCACTACAATCTCATATACAAAGCGAATGAGTGAGACAGAGTAGCTAAACTGGGGAAAAGGATGAAGTATTGTTTCCAATGTGATATAAGAACATAAGAGATGCCAATGTTGGATCAGGCCAAAGGCCCATCCAGTCCAGCACTCTGTATCACACAGTGGCCAGAAATACCAGTGCCATCAGGAGGTCCACCAGTGGGGCCAGGACATTAGAAGCCCTCCCACTGTTGACCCCCCCAAGCACCAAGATGACAGAGCATCACTTGCCCCAGAGTCCCTATCTATACCTTGTGGCTAACAGCCACTGACGGACCTCTGCTCCATATGCTTATCTAATTCCCTTTTATCATATGTATTTCTCTCTCCAACACAATCAGTAAGTTGTTGCTTGGAGCAAAATAGGTATACTGTCTTGTTCTCCCTCTTTTTGTATGACGTCCCAAACCTTTGATTCATCCCATGTTCTAGCTGCATTCTGTGCTTTTCTTGGGAAAGGGCACGGTGTTCTTTTGTTCATACTGAGCTGAGTGGGGATATTTAGACTTCTGCCTCCTCCTTTACCAACATGCATCATGCCATTGTTGGGGCAGAACCTGAGCTGAGAGGGTTTAGGATGCCAGCTAACTTCCAAAACTCCATTGGAGCCTTCCTGTTCCGACCCCTGTGTATCTCCCAGTTGCACCAGAGTAGGGATTCAGGTCCCACCCATGGGGTTGGATGCCAACTACACACTTCCATGGGTGCAAGGACTTCCATGCGCTCATTGTGATTTATTTCCCCCTTCACCCTCTCCTGTGGCAGCCCAACATGCTCCCCCCAAATCTTCTTCCTGTGACAGAGGGGAGCACCAGGAACAGATTTCAGGGAGTATATCAGGATGCTGTTGGAAAGGGAAGGTGGGAAAGTCACACTCTGTAGGTGGAAAATAGATTCAAGGGTTAGCTGTGTTGGTCTGAAGCAGCAGAACAAAATTTTAGTCCAGTGGCACCTTTAAGACCAATAAAGTTTTATTCTGGATATAAGCTTTTGTGTACATGCACACTTCTTCAGATACACTGAAAAAGAAGTCACCAACCATTACATATATGTAGAGGATGGAGAGGGTGTTGCCAGGAAAGGCTAATTAGAGTCAAGATGCATAAGTAATTGAGCAATACAAAATAGCTAAAATTGGATTAAGGCAGTTTGTAAGACAGTGAATAGCAGCAAATTAACTTACAGAAGAATAAAAGCATTTACAAACAGATGCGAGATAACTGAATGATTTTGCATGTGTAGTGAGGTAAGAAACTGATATCTCTGTTAACCCGTGGGGGTTCCACTGTCCTGAGTGTTGTGATATCTTGTAACTCAGCAATCTCCATTCTAGTCTGTTTTGGAAACTCCTTTGCAATAAAACAGCTACTTTGAGGTCCCCCGTTGAATGTCCTGAGAGGTTGAAGAGTTCTACAGGTTTCTCCATTTTATGATTCTTGATGTCAAATTTGTGTCCATTTATCCTTTGGCGCATGGCTTGACCTATTTGCCCTATGTAGAGAATTGAAGGGCATTGTTGGTACTTAATGGCACATATGGTGGCTCAGAGGTTAAGATGCTGAGCTGCAGACTGGAAGGTTTGTAGTTCAGCAGTTCGAGACCCTAGTGCTGCATGACGGAGTGAGCTCCCGTCTCTGGTCCCAGCTCCTGCCAACCTAGCAGTTCGAAAGCAAGAAATTGCAAGTAGATAAATAGGTACTGCTTTGGTGGGAAGGTAACAGCGTTCTGTGCACTTTGGCATTTAGTCATGCCGGCCACATGACTACGGAAATGTCTTTGGACAGTGCTGGCTCTTCAGCTTGGAAAGGGAGATGAGCACTGCCCCCTAGAGTCAGATTAAACTAGCTCTCGAGCAAGGAAAACCTTTACCATGTTAGAAGATGAGCAAGTGAATGAGCCTGAAATGGTGTTGTTGATGTCGTTAAGTCCTGTGATTATGTTGTCTGGGTGTATGTGGCAGCAAAGGCCTGTCTTGCAGCAGGTTTTTGCTGGGTACTATTCTGGCTTTACTTATCTGTTTCATGACTTTATCAGGTAGATATTTTCGTTCCAAAAAGGTCTGTTGTAGATAAAAGCATGTGAGTCTTATATTTCATTTATTTTGTGCTTAATGTTTATTACTGACTTGTGAACTAAAATGTAACTGGTCAATCATGAGGGTGATATGTTTTGGTGGAGTCTGTAAACTCCATGGTCACCCCCCCATGAAGAACAAAATAAGGGAAATATAAGACTCACATGCTCAAAATGCTGCTCAGGTTGATGAGAATGCTGTAGTGCTGGCAACAGAGAATGCTTTTGTAATACATTTCTCCACAAGACTGTAAATGTTCCCAATCTATAGAAATATCAATCCACCCTCCTTATGAAAAAGTAAAACTGTAAAAGAAAACTGCAGTCTGCAATTTTTATGTACTTTCACAATACTCAGTGGAATCCAACCCACTTGGCAGCTATGGAATTGATAATGGGAATCTTATTTGCTTGCATGAAAATACATAATAATCCTTAGGAAAATATACAGAACAGTATAAAACAAAACATGAAAATTGCACAGGCATTCCCAGGGCAAGTGTACAATGGCCACGGCCTGCAGCACAGGGTTTTGCAGAACATACAGATGGATTATAAGGCCTTATATTTATTGCATTCTGCTTTGCCAAAATAGTCCCAAGGATTTTTTTTAAAAAGACACAGAGTCAAAATGGCATGAGAAAATTAAAGTAACAGTACTGTAGCAGATGGCAAAGCGGTTTCTCAGGAAAGAGAAAAGATGTACATTGTGCTGTTTTCAGAGCACAGTTACCAGTATACAGTCTACACGACAGGCAGAAGTCCAGCAGGTAATGAATCATCTCCCTTCTTCCCCCATCCCCACGCTGAGCACTTAACTCCATCTGTTGAGAATATACCTGTCATGCAGCTGTGCAAAAACATGAGGCGGGGACAGCTACTGTATTCCAGAGTCCATACGGATCCTTGCACTTTCCTCACCCCCGGCGCAGGAGGGAGAAGAGAAGCCGAGCAAGTCATGTGAGCCCGGCTGGTGTCACCTGACAAGGAGGAGGAAGTTCTTTCAGCGACTCAGTCCTCCTCGAGCCTTGTCTTCATCATGCTCTCTCGTCTGCTGAAGGAGCACCAGGCAAAGCAAAGCGAAAGGAAGGAGTTGCAAGGTGAGCGGCCTAGCGTGTCTCCCGAAGCCTCGGCCTCGAGTAATTTCACTCGCTTTGGGAACGAATACAGCGCGCGGTTTGCAGGCGATGCTCCGAGTATCATTAGAGAGGACCGCCCGCCCCTCCTGAGGAAGGTCCCTTGCCTCTGCAGCTCAGGGCTGTTATTGGCCAAAGGGCTGTCATGTGGCGGGCGGGGGTGGAGAGGTGTGTTTAGCCATTACCTCGGTAGTAAAATAAATGAATCGAGGACGGTGATGCTCTTCTGTTTAGCTCGTTTTTTCCTTAAATTAAAATGTCTTATCGATTGAGCAGCGCAGTGATGGTGAGGGGAACAATTGCTTCACTCTCATACCCTCTTAAAGTGGGATTTCTCATCCGTGGCTCCTGGTTTGCGTTTGCCAGAGAGAGGATAGTTTGAAGTCAGTAATGCCACAACCATAATACGACCCACGAACGCTTGGGGCAACAGCAGCAGCAGCAGGGCTGTTTGTTTTGGGCTTCTTTTTAAAAAAAGTTTTTTAAAAAAATTCTGGAGAACCTGGTTAGGTTCCTAGTTTTGCTCTCTAGCCTAAGTTGGGACAGACCCGGGCCACCCATTTCTGCAGTGAGGGGGTTTGCAATATTCTTGGTTTGTATCCTTTCACACATGAATATTTTGCTGTAAAGATATGGGAAGAGACTGAGGTGTTCAGCGTAGCAGTCCTAAATGCTAGAAGAGTAGCTGAAGAGATTCACAGCCAAGTAGAAATTCCCAAGCATTATGGAGTAGTGCAAGAGAGTTTGTGCACGTGACATCGGGCTCATTTTGCATGCCAGTAGACACTAAAAACAGGCTCCTTCCTAATTCTGCTTTGAGCTGCTTCTGCACTATGAGATTCTTGTGTTGTTTTCATCACTGCTCTTAATGCCAGCTTGGTCAACAGAGCTTCCATACAGGGAGTTTTATGTGTGCTTTCCTCTGTCCTTCCTCCTCCAGCTTTTTCTCACACATGTGTCACAGTGGCCCTGCTTTGGCTCCTGAGGATGTGGTTGTCACAGATGCTGTTGCAACTCTATACACATGTGCTATCTAGCAATATCAACACATAAACAGAATTCCTGCAGCCATGTTGCAGCATCTCCTCCCTGTTCCTTTCTAATGAATCAGGCCAAAAACTGTCCACACCTTTCCCCTTATATCGCTGCAACAAAAAAGGCTGGAGATGTCATTTTGTTTAACTGAAACCTGAGAATTCAGAGGTATTAAAGTTTGACAGGGAAAGTGGTAATAGATCTCTACAGTGAAATAGCAGTTACCATATTAAAAAAATAGACTGCAGGATCAGGAAATTTTAGGGAGAAAATGGTACCAATGTGGGTGAGACCTTCACAGCAGGAAAATATGCACTATTTCTTCTGTGCACCATTTCTTCCAGCCCAATAAACATGTTTGAACTGCATTCTTTCCAGAAGGTCAGAATAAAGTGGGTTCAGGAAAAAGCATATTAGGGACAAGCAAAACCTGGAAAGAGGATTATTAGAGCATGATGTTATGTGGATACTAACAAAAAAAAAGCCCTCTGATTCAGAAGCCAAGGCAACCAAAACCTTCTGTGTGGTAGCCGTCTTGGTTGTCCCCCACTCAAATTTCCAGCAGCCTGCATTGAATTTTGTTGGAATGTACAGGTGAACAGGGGCCGCAGTTGCTCAGAGGTTAAGATGCTGAAGCTGCAAACTGGAAGGTCTGTAGCTTGGCAATTTGAGACCCTAGTACCGCATGATGGAGTGAGCTCCCGTCTCTGGCCCCAGCTCCTGCCAACCTAGCAGTTCGAAAGCAAGAAATTGCAAGTAGATAAATAGGTACCGCTTTGGTGGGAAGGTAACAGCATTCTGTGTGCCTCGGCATTTAGTCATGCTGGCCACATGACCACAGAAACGTCTTCGGACAGTGCTGGCTCTTTGGCTTGGACGCGGAGATGAGCTCCGCCCCCTAGAGTTGGATTCGACTAGCTTTCGAGCAAGGGAAACTTTTACCTTTACCTTACAGGTGAACAAGAGCAATTGTCTCAATAATTATTTACTGCAAGCAAAAAATTAAACACTATCAAACTTCCAACTTGGAGAAGAGGAATCATATGTGTATGTGAAGGGCAAAAGTAAAATGAATAAATGAAATGTGGCAAGAGTGCTAGGGCAAATAGATTGCTTATGCTTCTTCCTGCGCACAAATATATTGACCTTCCAGAGTAATGCTGATGGGAAGGGGCTTCCATTTCCCTCTGCAGATCGGCGCCGCCGAGAGGCCATCGCTGCAGCCACTTGCTTAACAGAAGCCCTGGTGGACCACTTAAATGTAGGGTAAGTGGAGTGGAGCATTGGGGAGCGATGGAGCCAAACAAGTTCTGTTGCTAAATCTCATGTATAGATGTTACTCTCCCTGGGCATAAGTAGCTTTCTGCCTTTAGGCTGTTTCTTAGTGTGACGAAATGCATTTTCTCCTGGGAGGTTGGCAAGCAGCACGCTTCCACTTGGCATTTTAAGTTTTTTTCTCTGGTCAGAGAACTGGCAGGAAGAGGGAAGGGGAAGTCAATTCGATTGTACCTCAGCCCACCTTCTTACAGATGTTAATGGATCTACCAGGAAAGACAGTGGGATGGGCCAGTTCAGCCCCCCCCCTCTTCCAAGGAGGGAATAGAGGTGGAGGTGTTAATTGCTAGACAGGTTACAGGAAGGGAAAGATGCCTTGACCTGGACTGAATGGGGTCAAGGAGGAGGGGGAACAGAGGTGATAAAATCTTTGGGCAACAGGAAATGGCCCTCTTTTTTGGGGGTGTTCAGGCAATGTGAGGACACAGGTCTCTCAACTCCCAAAACAGCCATATTGACCATGTACTTGCCTGGAAGACTGGGAGCAAGCTTCGAGGTAATGGGAACTCTGGGAACTAGAACCGCTAAGCTAAAGAGCTTGTCCTATATTTTACCATCAGCTAGGGCAGCTTGGAGCTGCGGTGGCTCAAGTGGTTAAGACGCTGAACTGCAGGCTGTGGAAGGTCGGTAGTTCAGCAGTTCGAGACCCGGGTGCCGCATGATGGAGTGAGCTCCCATCTCTAGTTCCAGCTCCTGCCAACCTAGCACTTCGAAAGCAAGAAATTGCAAGTAGATAAATAGGTACCACTTCAGCGGGAAGGTAACAGCGTTCCGTGCGCCTTGGTGTTTAGTCATGCCGGCCACATGACCACGGAAACGTCTTCGGACAGCGCTGGCTCTTCAGCTTAGAAACGGAGATGAGCACCGCAACCCTAGAGTCGGATTCGACTGGCTTTCAAGCAAGGGAACCTTTACCTTTACCTTTTTAGGGCAGTGATGGCGAACCTTTTAGGGACCGAGTGCCCAAACTGCGACCCAAAACCCACTTATTTATTGCAAAGTGCCAACACGGCAATTTAACCTGAATACTGAGGTTTTACTTTAGAAAAAACAACTCATACATTAACTTAAGATGATCCAAACAAAGTAAGGAAAGCAATCCCAAATGCTTTCATTTACTTAAAATTATTTGGCAGAGAATTCAACACTTTAATGATGGTCTGGGCCTGGCTGGGGCGATGACACGCGTGCCCACAGAGAGGGCTCTGAGTGCCACCTCTGGCACCCGTGCCATAGGTTCGCCACCACTGAGTTAGGGCATGTATAGAGAAGGGACAGAAGATGTGCGCTTTCACCAATTTCTTTTGTCTCCCTTGTTCAGATCTGGTGCTGTGTTAAAAAGTATGCTTGTAAACATTTTCTTTTTAATAAATATTTTACGCTTTGGATGTTGGGAGTGGTTCTCTGTACCACATAGACCATCTTTTTGAACATGCTATTTTAAAAGGGGCTCCAGGGGAGTTGGCAAGCAGCTATTCCTCCAAGGGCACCCAAGGCAGTAAAGTGTCCCCACGGTTGCCAGGCACTGGGCAAGTGGGAAACACAGAACTGAGAAGGGAGGCTGGGGATCCTGATCCTCCCAGTGGGAAATCCCTAAATTGATCAGGTGGTGGTAGCAGCTACTTGAGAGTAAAAGAAAAGACCCTCCAGGGAGTTGGGAACACCGAGGAGGGCAGGGTGGAACGGGGCCTGCAGACCAGAGCAGGCCAGTTCTGCCACACTTAGCAAGGGACAGAAACTGACAACTGGTGATGTGGAGTAGCTAAGAGCCTAAGTTATGACCCAGGAATAGGGTTGTCAGGTCCTACTTGGCTGCCAGTGGGAAGCTCCAGCATCTGTTCCAGGATATTTTGGTGCGCGTGCCAGAGTGACATCACCCGGAAGTGACATCATCATGTCACCAACATGATGGGGTGATGTTCTAGTTTTTGAGCAAAACTCTGTAGTTTGAGCCCAATGTTACCATAGAGTTTTGCTCCAAAACTAGAGCATCACCCCCTGACACCAGCAATGTGATGACATCACTTCCAGGTGACATCATTATGTCATGTTCGGGGGCATTTGCGGGGGGGGGATTCCCCCTGCCGGCCACCTGGCCAGCAGTGGAAAAGGGCCTGCAAAAGCGGGGGAATCTCCACTTGGACCGGGGGCCTGGCAACCCTACCCAGGAAGGCTCTTCTCTCCCCCTGTTAAGTTTCTTGGCCTTAGTCCACACTTGCAGTCTAGAAATAATACTACCTTACTTTATAGCGTGATAGTAAGAATTACTGAAAGAGTGCATGTGAAGCGCTTCGAAAGTTCTGCTGTACTGTATAAATGCTAAGTGCTATTTATTCTCATTGATCTCGTTTGGGCCTTGTATCTGGAATCCATGGAGCAAAATTAGTTGCCATGAGGCATCTGCAGCACAGGAAGCTTCCTCACAATTATATGACTGTCCTTGCTACAGTCTGTAAATAGCCAGTGGAATTCATCACTGGAGAGTTTTGTAACTTGCTCCTATTGGGGCCATGATTTCCAGGACCAAAATAGGAAATGCCTCAACTCTTAGCAGGATATAAAAACAATGCTGTCTTCTCCCCCCGCCCCCAAGACTAGCTGAGCCCCTAATAAAGTAGAACTACTCAGTAAATGATCTGGAAGTCAAATGGGCCCCTCAGAACCCCTTCCTTTCTGCCCCTCGTTGGTCAGCCCCCCTAGTTACAACTACATTGTGACTTTGCCCCTGTGCAAATGTATCCAGGCTGCAATTTTGAATCCCTACCTGAAATGAAGCTGTGACCTTGGAACACTGCATGAGAGATAGGGCAGTGATTTTCCGGCACATTTTTACGTCCAAAATGGGTAGTTCAGGATTTATGCTGTCATGTGCCTTCCTCACTCCCCCCCCCCCATTCAACACACCGCTTCAGTTGCAGCTGGCTGCAGGCGAAAGAGAGATCCTTAGGCACCTTTGTAAGGAATCTCTAGTAGTACTGTCACGGAACCCTTCACTGCCTGCAGTTCCCATGGCCAGTGGCACGCACCAGTCTTAAAAACAGGTTTGCTCTTTGGTTATGGGAGCTGCACTAGTAAGAAACACAACAAAAGCTCAGGCTTTGGGTATGGTTCTGTTACAAATTGCTGTGGGTCATGGCCACTGTGCAAAGGGTGTAGGCCAACATTAAACAAAGCAGTATGATTTATAAGATGGGCATACATCCCATATGATTAGGAGTAGGCTTTGTTCAGGGCTCTGCTATTAATCTTGGTCACTGTGAAAATCAAAAAAGGGGAAAAAATGTCCTATGTAATCTTAGTGTGAGGGCCTTGTGCCTATTATTAAGATGCCCGAAGCTGCTAACACTAAAGAACTGGGATCGTGAGGGCCTGTGTTTTGCTCACCCTGCTTGGCAGTTCCTTCGATTACTTGTCTTAGCCCAGGCTTTGCATTGCCGAGGGAAGTAATTTGCTGTAGCCTGAGGGTGCCTGATATAACCGTGAGAGCTGTAGTTGTAGAACTTTTCAAGTTACTAGCTCTCATGATTCATGTGAGAATTCTTGGAAGAGTGCGCCAAAATCTATAAAGCAGGCAGCGTATTTATTTTAAGCGGTGTCTTTAAAAATGGCTATAAAGAGTTTAAGGAGTTTGAACTCAGTATTAGTACAAAGAATTATTTCCTGGCTGAGCTGCTGGTCTGCCAAGAATAATAGAATGATGACAGCAAAAGCTCCCAAGGCACGAACATTAGTATCGTCAAATGTGGCATTTTGAAGGGTGTTCTTTCCCATTTTTGCTGAGCTGAACTCCTTGCAGCCCATATAACTTATGAATTTCTGCTCCCCTGTTACAATAAACAATAGTTTTAGGGTTGCCGAGTCTGGGTTGGAAAATACCTGGAGACTTTGGGGGTGGAGCCAGGAGAGGGCGTGGTTTGGGGAGGAGAGAGATAATACAATGCCATAGAGTCCACCCTTCAAAGCATACATTTTCTCCAGGGGAGCTAATCTCTGTCGGCTGGGGATCAGTTGTAAAAGTGGGAGATCCCCAGGCCCCACCTGGAGGCTGGCAACCCTAAGTAGTTTTAAGAGACAGGCACAGAGTCCCAATGCTCTGGCCAAGCAGCTGAACTGGCCCCCTTTATTCCACCCCTCTGCTTTTATACTCTATTTGTGTTCTAAAGTATAAATAGCTGGATTCTTATAGCATGACTCCTGGCCTTGGTAAGGCATGTCCAGTCTCGGCTATTGTTTTGTTTCTGTGATTAGCTGATGAGCAGGGAGGAAGTCGCTTTTGCCGCTTCCCTCTTCCGGCCCATGTTTCCCGCAGGGCTCTTCAACAGCCCTCAAGGTTGTGATTGTTTAGTATGAGGGGAGAGAGGACTTGCTAGGCCTTGGGTCGGTCTTCCCCTGAGTTGTTTTCTCATGATATAGACGAGAGAGGGAAGGACAGGAGGTCTTGTAAGGACAAGTAATCTGTGAACAGTTCTGGGGGGGGGGATCAGATGTCGTCATTTCTTTGCTGAAAGTGTGGCTCTTGTTTGCCTGTTTCCCACCTGCTGTTTTAAAGCAGGAATTTGCCTCGGTGTTCCTGAACAGCTGCTGTATTTTGTTGCCCTGAGAAAGTTATTTGGATTCCAACTGCCTGTCTTCCAGCACTGGGTGGGTGCTGTCTGTGGTTCCGCTCTGATCCAGCAATCCTCCTGACTGCCACTGCTTTGGTTCCGCTTTGATCCAGCAATCCTGCTGACTGCCACTGAAAGGCAGAGCAAAGTGAAAAACGAATGCTCCTGTTGTCATCTAGCTAGACATATGCAAGTTAGTCCAGTTTGCTGTTGTACCCTGATCTTTAGAGGGAGGGGATCTGCTTGGCCTCTTGTGTGGCATGTCAAGGGCTTGTGGCAAAGATGACCACCTCTGTTTCCTTTGGAGGCCCAGCTTCTGTGCACAGTTACTGCAAGGAAGCAGTAGCATAGCAGCATAGCAGCATAGAACAGGAGAAGAGAGGATACTTAGTGTCAGGACAGTAGCATTCTGTTTTTATTGCCCTTACTCTGCCCATCACACTTTCTTTCAGAGCACATGTTCTGGTATTGCTGTGAAGGTAGCTCACTGAAATGGAATAGGATATTCCCAGACCAGTTTGCTGAATACAGATGGAGTTTCAAATGGTTCAAGTATCACCTTGTGGACCCATAGTTCTGAAGTGTCAAGCTTTGGAGTTGCATAAAAATATTCTGCAGGCAAGAAAATGTTCCTTGTTTCCTGAAACAGAGCTCTGTACATGGAAGCTTGCTACCTTGAAACCACAGTTGACCTAGTAAAGGCATCTTCTGATCTTCTTTGGAGACCAAATGTCTTCATGTGAGACCAGCGTAGCAGCTACTCTTGGAACTGTTGTAACTGTCCAAATGTTGTCTTTGGCTGTATCTCATACTGGGTTGGGACTGACAAGACCCCCCCCCCCCAATTTCCACTTATTTTGGGGTACCTTCATCTCCCATAGTGAGGGAAATCACACACTTGTCTTGCCATGCCCGTACCTTCACCTGCCTATTGGTTCAAGAAAATTAGTTCCAGATGTTCCCAATGCTGCCTAATGATTCCCAGATGTTACTGAGCCATTAAATCCACTGCAGCTTGGGAACGTACCCAGCTGCAGACTCCCAGCGCCTGCCTCTGCCCCTGGGGTTAGCTTACTCTGAACTGGGAAACCATTCGGTATGTGGAAGAGCTGAGCAGAAAATACAGCAGTAAGTGTTCGATGAAGGGAAATGTCTTCCGAGATCCAGGCTGCTCAGTTTGCCAAGCAGACAGGCCAGTGGATTAGCATGGTGGAGAACTTCAACCAAGCCCTGAAGGTCAGTCAGTCGGGTTCCTGCGGGAATGAAGGACCCAGCAGCCTCAAGATCCGCCCTTGAAAGGGAATGATTGGACCTGGGGGGTTGCGGGGGAGGAGGTCCCCATGTGGGTTTTCACAGGCAGCTAGACAAAGGGTTTGGGACTTAGAGGAGGGTGGATATAGCTATGGCTTCGTGTGTGCCAGGACTCGTCCCTGAAACCATAATAAGCCTGAGCATGTGCAGTTTGCTTTTCTCCAGTTAC